TTATCTAGTAACTAACTATAACATCTTTATTCGTAATACATTATATGAATGTATGAAATAAAGTCTGGTTATGATGTTAAGCACGTCATAACTTACCCAACAAGAAATTTCGCTATCTTATAATCGTTATAGTTACGACTGATGTTCACCTAGGTTTATGTCGCCAGCTCCTTAGTCATCAGATCACCAACTTCCTTGACTTCCAGCACTTTACAGGGGTTAACCCCCATACATGGTCTTATGATTTTACAGAGACCTAAGTTTTTGGTAAACAGTCGCCCCAATCTAGTTGCTGTAATCTCTTTTGTGAGGAGGCACTCATTCTCCCGAAGTTACAGGATTATTTTGCCGAATTTATTGGAGAGAGTTGTCTCGCGTCCTAGATATTCTCTATCTACCCACTTGTATTGGTTTCGAGTATAAGTACTTGTTCAAGCTTTTTCTGAGTGTATAGCATGGATTATTTAAGCGTTATATTATTTGAATAGAAGAAAATAAAGTTTGGTTATGGTGTTACCGATAACAACCTATAAAAAAAACATATGATTATAGTTACAGGGGAATGAATTGTTGTTAATCATATTGAAAGCTAAATTAAACACTAAAATATATCTTAATGTTAAAAAGAAAAAGACAAATTAATTTTAACATAAAGGCAAATTAATTTTGGCTAATTTTTTGTATTTAAAGAAATAGTTAAATTTTTTAACTAATATTTAAAACTTCTTTTTATAATTAGTTTTCACAACCAAGGTCACGTGACCAAGAAAATGAATCCACATAATAATTTTTAAATTCTTTAAAACAAGCAAAAAGGGAGCTGGCTAAATTTTAAATTGTAAATCATTTTTTATGTCTCTAATTCTATTTTATTTATTTATTTATTTATTAATTTTATTTTTTGTTTTAACCAACATATTTATTGAATGTGGAAATTTTTGTATATATATTTTAAAGATTCAAATACAAAATATTTTTTACCACAATTTTGCAAGAGAGCACTTCAATGTAGAAGAGTGTGTTCGCATTTATGAGTTGGAAATTATAATTTTATAGGTAAATTCTATTTTGATTAAATTTCATTCGAAATTAATAATTTATTAAATAAATAAATATAATATTATGTTTCTAATACTAAATTCTAATTGTATAACATAATTAATTAGTTAATTAGTTATAATATTATATTTCACACAAATTTTAATAATACTATATTACTTTTCCGCGTCGAAGTCCTGTAAATTTTACCCATTTTGTGACTGCAACTCGTAGACAGCTCTAAGCTCTTTTTGCTCCGGAGCCGCGTACTTCCATTATTCCATTCATCAAAACCTTTTTAGGTATCTTCAAAGCCTCCTCTCTCCCTCTCTCTTTATCCAGTTCGCGGCAACCTGACAATCCTCTCACCTTCCCCCCGTCTCCAGCTTCTTGCAAAGTAGTATTTTTCCTCCTTTGATTCCCACGGTCACCGGAGCATCAGAGTCTATTGCCGTCGGTTTCGCATCTCCGTCAAACAGCCTTAGCATCTTACTTCTCGGAGCTTCGCCGGTACGCAGCGCCCAATACCGCAAACACTCTTCGCCAAGTTTCTCAAACTTGCGTCCTTGCTAGTTTCGAATTCCCCACCGCTGATAGTTGCCGCGACTGGTTTAGTGTCTCTAATAATGGGAGTGGAATTGGCGAATAACAACAGTGTATACGATGAGCTTGACGATCTTAATGTGGTCCGCTATGTCCGGGACGCCCTTGCTTCAGTCCAATATGTAAGTATTCAAATGATTCTTAATATTTTGTTTATTTTATAGGGCTTATATTTGTATCGGACAATATGAATCTTCATCAGCTTTAGCGCACAGGGGATTTGGTTTAGGATTTAAGATCAGACAATATGTAAGGTTTAGGATTAGGTGTGCAATTAGAGCCTGCCGCACTGGAGTACAACCTGCACTAGGCGCTTGTGCTGCTTACCACGTTTTTTTTTCCATTTGGTTGACTTTAGCTTCCAGAAGATTGACGCTCATAGTTTTTACTTTTCTTGACAAAAGGTCACTTGTGGAGTGCTTTTAGTGATTTACTC